CCGGTCACATGATCAGGCCGGAGTTGCCACTTATCAAAACATTATTAATATGCTATTTTAAGTGTGAACATGAACTTGAATTTTGATGTGAATCTTAAGTATAGTGCACGTTATCTTTTTGGAAAATAGGTCTGAGCACTATTATGATCGAATCTAAATATATTTGAATGAAAAAATGTACATATGTAAACATGTAAGAAATTGAGCATAAAATGTTATCCTTAGCATATGGCCCAGCAGCGATATAGTATATCTTAAACTATTACCAGTCTGAAATAAAAGAGTTTAATGAAGCAAAAATTCTGTTTAATGCAAATTTTGTGAAGAATAGATTTTTTTGTTAAAAAAAAGGTATTCTAAATTTAAGGCCCCTAATTTTCCTCCACAATGAAAATAAAAATTTTTGTGCAAATTCAAAGGACACTTTCAATTATATTTCAAAATATTATTTAACTACAGCTTAAAATGTTAAAGGAATTCTTACAACCAGGTTTTTTGTAGAAACCCATCATTTTTTTAAATCCTAGTTATAGGAGGCACATATCTCTTACTAGTACTTACGATTAGTTTCAAAATATTTCGTGTCAAACTTTTGAATTTATATACAATTTTTTATTATGTAATTTTGTTAAATGATATAACAACCCAGTAATCATAGGTATTTTGTACTGTTTCAAACAGGAAAAGACATATTGCTTTCAATACAAAATAATAAATATTTTCCATTCTATTTATTGAGAACACTATTAATTACCTATCAAATTGAATAATTAACAACTGGATGAGCTTCGCTGCACGGTTTTGAGAGGAATCTTTGTTTTCCTGAAAAAAAGTTAAACGAAGATTAAAAATTACACTTTGAGCTAAATTATAAAATGAAGGGAGGAAAGGAAACCGAGGAAGCTTAACTGATATAGAAAAAATGTTTATGTTCAGTTTTTGAATGCCTAGTAGGTAAGATTCATTAAGAATATTAATGTCCTCAAAGTGAATTGATTAATTTGAGTGTAATAATTTATCTCAATATTAAAACCTGAGTTCTATCAAAACAAATTTTGCAGTCATCATCTTCAGAAAAAGGTTGAAAATATTGGTCCATATCTTCAGATCCAGTCTGATATTCACCTCGACTCTTTGATGTTTCCTGTCTGTGAGATTCTTAAAGGTGTTTGCTCATAATTAGACTTGAGTTTTAAAACAGTTTCATTCACTTTATTAATTTCTCTTGCATACTTGCGGCACACTGTATCTGTATGGGTCTCTGGATTTATGTCAATGTGCAAGTATCTTTCAATTTATACACAATATTCTGTTTTAGATCATCCTTGAAATAACTTTCTTCTTAAATTACTATGCTCAGATTTATTTCCACACAATAAACAGATAAATTTCTTTGTTCTCGGTGTATATTTAATAAAACTAAAAACTTACTAGGTGTAGAAGCAGCCATATGAGTTCGCCAGTTTTAAGGACTGATAACAAGGAATGTAATTGCTAGCTGAGGCCATCTTTAAAAAAAATGTTTGGTTGTACTCTTCCGACCGACTGGCTAAAAATGGCCCGACTCAAAACTTTTTTTAACCTCCAGCGTACATTTTTTTTGCATATCGGAAAATAGATTTTGAAATTTTCTGGGGAAAAATCCCCTCCTACCTACCGATCCAATTTTTTCATCCTGAGTCGGGAGAGGGCAAACGAACATTATCTTAAAGTTGGCCTGAGCAAAAACAATTTAATTTTGTGAAAGGTCATAAAAATGTCTTGTAGAGCGATACATGATGACAGATATAATAGTGAGGCTGATTAGCCCTGTGCAGAGTTTAGAAGTCTCTATGTTTGTAAATATTTAGCTATGGTAGAGAGCAGAGGACAACAATACAAAAATGAACAAAAGAATTAAAAAAAAAAAAACAAAAAAACAGAGAGACTTGAGCAAGTCTATAGAGAACCTTGCATAACTGAATAAATGGGAAAATTCTTCATCTAATTTAGAAAATACACATAAAATAAACAATTCCCGTTTAATGGATATCTAAATAAATAACAAACAAAAAAAACCCCAATATATTCAAATATTGACATGAACAAAAGCTATCGTTCAAAATGACCTGAAATTATCCAAGAACGACTGAACAATTTATTTACAAAATGTTTTATGATAAGTGCTACCACACAATGATTGTCCTAAAAACAAAGAGATTCTTTGTTACATTCTAGTTAACAGCCTTATCGTGCCTATATTAGATTCCAAAAACTTAATAAGAGTCCTAACAAACAAAGATACATTGCAAGGTTCACTAAATGTTTAAACAAGTCTCTATATCTACTCCTCACTTAAATATTAACTGCTGTGAAGGACAAAATTCAGACATACATGTACTGTGATACAACATATTTAAAAGTGGTGTAAATGAAATGTAGATTTTCATAACCTACTGAGAACTTTTAGAATATTTTTAATCACAACATTTTCCCTAAAACAATTTCAAGAAGTATTACTTTTACAAGCTTAATTTTATACAATCATTCCTCACAATAAATTGAAGACCAGTCTTTTTACATTATCTTCAAACAAATGGAACTCGGATGTTAAATATTTATATCTTGTAACTGGTCATCTATACAATGTTACTTTGCTGAACATTATTGTGCTTCTACACACAAGTATACATGTACTCAGAAGTTGATTTTAAAATGATGCTGAAGTTCTTCATCGACAATATTTATGCAGTTTTTGGAGACGAGGTCTTCCAACAATCTTTGGGATTTTTTATTGAACACTATTTGTGCTCCTTTTAGCATTTTTAGCTCACCTGAGATGAAAGCTCAAGTGAGCTTTTCTGATCACATTTTATCCGTCGTCCGTCTGTAAACTTTTCACATTTTCGACTTCTTCTCCAGAACCACTGGACCAATTTCAACCAAACTTGCCACAAAGCATCCTTGGGTAAAGGGGATTCAGGTTTGTTCAAATGAAGGGCCACGCCCTCTTTCAAGGGGGATAATTAAGAATTAGTGAAAATTTTGTGGTATCTTTTAAAAATCTTCTCAAAAACCACTGGGCTGAAAAAGTTGAAACTTATATGAAACCTTCATTACATAGTGTAGATTCTAGTTTTTTCAAGTCATGACCGCCTGGGGTAGGGTGGCGCCACAATGGAGGATCAAAGTTTTACATAGGAATATATAGGAAAAATCTTTTTAAAAAAAATTTCAAGAACAGGAAAGCCATGGTTAGACATATTGATATGGAAGCATCCCCAAGCATTGTAGATTCAAGTTTGTTCAAGGCATCCTCCATTAGTAGGGTGGGGTCATAATGGGGGATCAAAGTTTTACAAAGGAACATATATAGGAAATATCTTAAAATATCTTCTTCTCAAGAACAACTAAGTCATGATTAGTCATATTGATATGAAAGCATCCTCAGGTAGTGTAGATTCAAGTTTGTTCAATTCATGTTCAATTCACAATATAAGCGTGAATGGTCAACTAACAACTAAACTATACATGGGTAACAGGTAACTTTAGAAATATTCCGCTATATCATCTACATGTGGTATTTATGCCTTTTTAACCATTCACTTCTTCCAATAAACCATTCCATCCAATTACTAGTTGAACTTAATTTTGGCAAGTCCTATGTATATATGAATATATTTAATGCTGCAAAGGATTTTACATGATTAAACTTTACAGCCGTTCCTTGCTCGAGTACGACTGAATCAACATTTTTTGTCATGTCATCTACATATTCTTTTTCACATAATGACGTCATGAATATGGAGCAAAATATTATGTAACACATGCTATTTATAGATCATGTATATTAAATTTCGTTTTGATCTGCATCTTGGTTGTGTAGATACATAAATAGTTCGCCAACTATTTGATCTATTATATCAATGACAGACAAATTGTTTAAATGTAAACGTTTGCGAAAAGGTTTGTTTCTTGTATGCACATATTTATATCTACAGAGAGCTAATGATTAGCATCTTATATACAATAACAATTAGAAACATTAATGACATTTTACCGTATAAATCATATTTATAAGTTTTATTTCAAAAAATATTTTCCAGTACTATCTTCAAATAAAAAAACAATACACTAGCGGTTTACTATAATCAAAAACTTCATTTTTTTTTATCAAATTGATTAATTAATTTTTATCATTTTTCTGAAACAGAATTTCATAATTATTTAATTCATTTTTTAAAATAAATAATTTGCTTTAATCCATTATGACGTCATAATTGATTTCAACTTAATTTTTCCCGCACTTCATGGCTGTAATAGAATTATGTACAAAATGAAGCATTCTCATGGAATTCAATTTGAAATCATGTCAAAAGTAACCCCGACACTTATATTCAATTAAATATCATTTAAAAGTAGAAGTCAAGAAGATACGAAAAACCGTTTTCTGAGAGACTGTGGGCAATATTGATACATTTCCTCTATCTGAGATGGAAAAAACTCCAAAATTTATAACTGACTTTCTTCATTTTACATTGAAAATGACAGTTTAAAACATGTTTTTTTTTCGTTGAGTTTACCTAAAAATCATGTCCCGATACACCTTATTTTACCAAGCTATATTTGTAAAGGATCATTAAAAGAACTCGCCCCTCAAATTTGAAAAATTTGTAGGCACCTTTAATTTACTAGATCTTGACCTTAAAGTACTCGAAACAAATTAATGCAGTAAACAGATTTGAACTGAAATATAAGCCATATTAGTCTTATTCTTTAAACCCTGGCAGGATTGACCTGTTTAAATGAAGTGTTGATTATAGTTAATCCGTAGAACACGTCAAACCACATCTAGTCGTTTACGTTTCATTTTAAGTAAATCAATACCTTCCTTTTAGTGACCAGTATGTAAGTGACCAGAAGGCTAAAAATAAATGAACGGTCCAGGCTAGAACAAAATTAAAGAGAGAGACACAATGATATGTTCAAGGAGATATCTGTTTTGGATTCTGTCAGCAGTTATGGGGATTGTTTCGGGACAAACAGGAACTAATCTAAAAGATCTGTATACCTACCTGTTTACAACGATAGGATACAATAAAGATATCCGTCCCGCCACGAATCAGGGCTCTCCTACCCAGGTGTCGGTAGATCTGCTGTTGACTGGACTCCAAGGACTTAATGAAGCCCATCAGCAAATGACATCCATGGGAATTTTAACTATCAAATGGAAAGATGAATTTCTGACGTGGACGCCCTCTTCTTATGGGGGAGCGACATATATAGACGTTCCCCAGGGGCTTGTTTGGAAGCCGGATATCCAGGTACAGAATGGTCTCACCGACTTTGCCGAACTGGGCGGAAGTTTTATGAATGTACGCGTGTTTAGTACCGGAGATGTTATATGGACACCTTATAAAGTATTTGACACCAAATGTTTGATCGAAATTAGATCTTTCCCATTTGATAGACAAGAATGTTCGATAAATTTCATAGCATGGAATAGTGATATAAATTCGGTGAATATTACACAGGGAACGAACGGCATGCAGCTAGATGACGATCTATATAATGGTCAGTGGACGCTCTCTAATCCCACCACTAACGTCATAATAGACGATGACGAATCAAAGATCAGCTTCAAATTGACGATAGAGAGGAAACCAAAAACATACGTCATCAATATAATAGTTCCCATGATGTTTCTCGTCGTCCTTGATGTGTTTACGTTCGCCCTTCCTATTGACAGTGGGGAGAAAATGGGATACTCAGTCACAATTATGTTGTCAATGTCAATATTCATGACTATTGTTGCCAGTCTTTTACCACCTACGTCATATTCGACGTCATACATAGAAATATATATAATTCTAGACGTGGTATTGGGAACGATAATACTGGTCATAACCACATTAACTATAAGAATTCATTATAGGACCCAAGAAATAAAAATACCCCCATGGGTACAGAAATTGACAGTTCTATCCTGGAAATTGCAAGGTAGACCATCGCAAAATTCTGTTAAGCAGAAAATGAACTCGGTGACAAAGTTAGAGGTTGTTAGTGTCAATGATACTGATGGGGAGAACGCAAAACCAATGGTGGGAAACAGCGAGATCGTTCTATGGACGGATGTGACGTCAGCAATAGATTATTATATGTTTTGGTTATTTTTATTTATTATTTCCTTATCAACAGCCGTTCTTCTTGGACTTGCTTCCAGTTAAAAACATTGATTTCTGTGTATATCTTTTGAGAAGTGATTTATCAATTTTTATGGTTTTAATATTCAGAAATCGGGCATAGTTTAAATTGTGGATTGACTTTAAAACTGAAGTGCTTTAACTTACATGTCAGTGCACGTGAACTGTTCAAAAGAATTAGCTTTAATTACTTGTATTTGTTGTTAGTTGGACATGCAGACATGTGACACTTATTATACCTTCCACCCCCTACCGTGATAACATAATTTGACTTTATAAGTGTAATAAGGTGTCATTTTTAGACATTTATCGGGATGTAAATACGGGTTGGCACGTGATCAAATCTACCATATTTAGCCCTTCGGGCTTTATGGGATTTGATCACATGACCAACTCATATTTACATCCCGATAAAAGTTTTAAAATGATACTTTATTTCTTAATTAAATTCGGGTAACAATAAGGTACAATAAAGAAAAATTTGCAAATGCGTAAATTAAGTAACATTAGACAAAATACGAAGGTAATCCACTGTATTATTATCGAAGTGAACAAAGGACATTTAATAATTTGAACTTGGATATGAAATTTATTTCACGAATGAGACACTTTTAAATATACTATATAGTAAGAAGCATGAGTGAAAATATTTTTTTTTAAATCCTGGCTCATGAGTACATGTATGTTCATTTTAAATAGCCAAGTTTAAAATTCGCCCAAAACATCATCCGGGTGAATTCAACAAAAATTTCCTGGTTTACAGGATTTTTTTTATATAAATTTCACATGATAACGTGTGTCAATCGTGTTTACTGATTTTATTTGAAAATAAAAAAAAAACTTGAGTAGTCGTGTATAATATATATCTATTTTATTTCGATCTTCAAATAAAAATCGGTGAATGGCAATACATATATAATTGTAAAACGTTTACTGCAAGAATTAACACGAATCTTATTGCAGTATATATATTGATGGTAAATAAAAATGGATCGACAACAAACTTGCTTGTGGATGTTTTAGCAATTAATTTTGAAACCCTCATAAACATCATAATGATAATAGCCAATGAAGTGCACAGGTGTTAGAGCATACATGTATAAACTTAATGAAGATTATTTATTTAAAGTTAATGCTGACCTTGAAGAGGATTATAATACGTGAAATACTTATTTATAATCCCTTGACTTGAATTTTGCTAAAAGCTTCAAGGTTGCAAAACCTCTCTCTCTCTCTCTCTCTCTCTCTCTCTCTCTCTGTGAGAGAGAGAGACTAAGTTGGATGAATGAAATGTAAAGATAAAGAACAGTGATTAAGCTCAAAATCCAATGAGACAAATTACAAACTGAGAGCAGGGAAACACTGAACCCTGGAAACACCAGAGGTGGGATCGGATGCCATGAAGGAGGAAGTATCCTTTGTCGACCGGTCACATCCGCATGACCGGCGGAGAGCACTTTGTCTTGATTAGAAATGGAGCAATGTGTGGTCAAATCAGTATGAAAACCATGATGGCCTAACAATTAATTTATATGAAAAGATATCAGTCAAAATTCGCCCCAATGACTGTTGACTTTTTTGGCAACAAAGTCATTGTGACGACCATAGAATTTGCGAAATTTTGTTAAACGATTGGAATAAGAACTCTGTAACATCAATTTATCTTTCCGTAGCCTGCTACGGTCGTACGTAGATCATGTTTTTGTGTACTTAGTATATAGAATCATTTGCAAGACAAGAACACCATATGCTGATGGTGATGTAACATGCACACTGGCGGTTTAGATGGACAGGGGGCCCGGGTCCCCCTTTTGTGTCCAAAATATGCATAAGATTTAATAAATCATATTTGGGGGTGTGGCTGTGGGCCCCTAACCCCCCCCCCAACTGCCCCACCCCCTTTTCAAGATCCTGGATCCGCCACTGATGCATAAGGGAAATTGTCTATAGAAAAAAATAGTCATCTCGTTTATAAAGTTTAGTTGTCAGTTTGACAACAATGTCTAAATATAAAAAAAACACAAAAGTCTAAGATAGAAACACGGTTCAAATATTTACTTGGTTTTGATGACACAAAAAGGACTTCCATCGTCGGAAACCCATGGCCAATCTCGCATACGCTTAATAAGCGTCTGCGAGATTGGCCGTGGGTTTCCGACGATGTCAGAATTTTTTTTCCAGTTTAGTTTTTTCCCCTTCATCTTTAACTTGTTAACATAGAAAATTATTTTTCAATATTTAAAATAATATTAAATTGTATTTTAGGAAAAGTATCAACAATAGAAAAAATAACGTATTTTATATAATAACGTCACGCTACGTTATCTCCTGCGTGTAGCGTATTAGGGCATATTGACACAAAAAATAAAATATTTTTAACCCTATTTAATATGGTATGTCATGTTAATCCTTTGGTTAAGACTTCATAAATATGACTGACATGTAAAAATGAGCATATTGTTGCACATGTTGGAGGTATCTATGAGGCGCCGTGTTGTTTAGTGATATCACCTATTCGAATAGGTGATATCACGTACCTATTCGAATAGTCCGAAATATCTGACGTTTTCCTGGCTTTTTTCCCGATTTCATATTTTACGTGCCAGGAAAACGTCCGAACCGGCGCCATTACGAAACCTGGAAATTCGCCGCCTCCAACTGGAGGCGGCATTCTCGGATGATTTTCTATACTTGCGAACCGAATTAAATGCTGAATTCACAACTTATTAATAGTACAATTCCTTTAGTACTCACCACCATCGTTTTTATGGGTTTATTTATGAAATATACAATCTGGTGAAAACATTTTATCAGACGGTCGAGTTTTCTTTTCATTTCGTGCATTTTAAAATTTCGCAAGTCCTGTATCGAAATGTGGAGTGATCTTTACTTTTCATCGATATTGGTGAGTACTAGAAGCATTGTGCTACTGATAAATTGTAAGTTCGGCATTTACTTCAGTTCGCAAGTATCGAAAATCAGCTCCGGTTGGAGACGGTGAAATTTCCAGTTTTCGTAATGGCACCGGTTCTGACGTTTTCCTGTCATGTAAAATATCAAAATCGTGAAAAAAGCCTGGAAAACGTCAGACGTTTTGGTATCACCTATTCGAATAAGTGATACCACTCATTCAAATTGAATAGGTGATATCATCTATTTGAATAGGTGATGTCACTTAAGTTCAGGATCTAGTAAATGAAAGGAGTCTACAGATTTCTCAAATTTGAGAAATAAATTCCTTTAATGAAGCTTTATAAGTATAGCTTGGTCAAATAAGGTGTTTCGGGGCATAATTTGTAGGTAAAGAAGACGAAAAATCATGTTATAAACTCTCATTTCATTGAAAAATGAAGAAAATCAGTCATGAATATGGGAGTTTTTTTTTCCATATCAGACAAATTAAATGTATCCAGACTGCCTATACAGTCTCTCAGAAAACGGTATTTTGTATGTGCTTATCCTCTTCTTTAAAATAATATTAAATTGAATATAGGTTTCGGGATTACTTTTCACATGATTTCAAATTGAATTCCAGGAAAATACTTCATTTTCTACATAGTTCTATTACAGCCGTAAAGTACGGGAAAAAAGAAAGTTTATTTGATTATGACGTCATAATGGATCTAGCATAAAAAATGCAGTGTAAAGTCATTTACTAGATCTTGACCTTAATTAATGGCAGTAAATACCAAAAGTACTTACTTATTTCACATAAAATATGATAGATATAATAGATCACGTGTAATTGATATTTATTTTTGATGCGTTCTTGAACTTGACTGTAAAACTTTCTCGGCATTTGATTGTGAATTTTCAGCATGTAAAAAATGGCGTCACAATCGCATTCGTTTACGAACAGCGCGGAGTTTCCCGAAAGTGACAGAGTTAGGGTAGTGACGGAGTTAGGAGGTTTGGCGATAATTAAATATCTTCACTTAATACAATAAGCATAACATTTATCTTATTTAAATATATTTATAGTATAGAACATATATAGATAAATTAAGCTAGTACCTATAATGATACCCTCCTTCGACTGTGTACTAATGAGTCTTTGTTAATTTGCCAAAATAATGAAATTTAATTTATTAGCCACGGTTTGTCAAATCATAATTCTCTAATTTAAAAAAACGAGAAAGGCACTTAAAATCTTTTCAAATGTCACAAATGTACATGACCATGATCACAAGTCTGCTTCGGATAAAATTAAATAAATAACGATTCAAGTAGAAACCGCTTATTTGCAAATCAGCATCCTTTTAACGTTTGGGGGAAGTGCCATTTATACTGATTGTTAAAGTAGCTCTATGATGCTGCTTTATTTTGATTTGGTAAAAAACCTGTACACTGAAAACTAAAAAAGCTTAATGTTAAAGTTAAAAGGTGGAGTTTGAAGAAAGGAACAATAACCCACATTAGCTGTCATTCATTCAACGTGCCTCTCTACAGCTTGATAAGCAGAAGTTTACCCGTGACATCGAATCTTTGAAAAGGTGGTCCAGCACAACCTCTTGATTTATCTTTACACAATGACATGTAGCTTGATTTAGCTATTCTATCACACTTTTTCCTTAAATGTATTATTTTTTTCATTATGTACAAAAGTCACATCTTAGTGCAGTGATGGATAATTCAAGCTTGAACTTTTCTGAAAACAATGCATCTTTGTTTTGTTTATAATTACAGCTTGCTGTATTCAAGGACCAAAAGTACTGAGAGGAGATGGTGTACGACCACCAAAATATGAGAAGAAGATTAAGCCTGAAATGCTGTTTAATTTGGTTTGGGATTCCCCTAACTATCTGGTTGACCTTTAACCTTTTCAGCTGGCACTTAAAGCTTTCTGCTGACTGGAATCAACCAAACAGGTTGAAACTGAGGGCAAGGAAAACCCTGCTCATCAGGAGGGACAATCAAAAGAAAGGTCATGAAGGGGAATCCCCTAAATTTGAACAGCAATGTGAGTCCCTATCAGAAGTGTTCAATAAAGCCCTGGTGAAACGGTACAACCTGACTGTCCTGCATTCCCTGGGTGTTGTATTAAGCCCAGAGGATCAGAAACTTCGAGATGAAGGTTAGTTTTGTGATGCTTGTATGATTTTTCAATCATCATTTACAGACATGACCATCATCCATATACTTGAGAGTTTAGGTGTTTACATCAGTTTCGATTTTGTTTGATTGCATACTATAATACATTTAATATGCAACTATATGTACATGTAACTGTTGCTTTCAGTATGCCAAGTCTTGGAGGCTTTACATTGTGCTTAATAATTAACAATGAATGATGAATAATATAAACAACCTTGATAAAAGAGAATTGTAAAGCTAAAAAAATTAACAAAAAGGATCAAAAAACAATTTTCATCTTATTTGTTGCTAATTGATTCTAATTATTTGATAGCTTGTGTTGTTTCAGTAGTCATTTAAATGTTGTGAATAGGATATAGTTACGATGATTGAAAAACAGGTCATGTACTTCTTTGTAAAATGTTTATTAAATTTAAACCATGCTTGTTTGTAATTTAGGTTACCAGAAGTTTGCTTTTAATGCATTAATAAGTGACAAAATAGGATTTCACAGAGCTGTCCCTGATACTAGAGATCCCAAGTAAGGCTGGCTTATACACGTAATATAGCAGTACGATAAATAAAGTAATGATTTATTTACTTATATACAGGGTATATATCTGATTTAATCAGGTAAATTGGTGCACATGCTGAAAGGCAGACAAAGAGACTTTGATCAAGAAATATAGGAGATGAACTTTAAGCAGCACTTGCGATCTTTCTCAAACATTAACATTGACTTTTTAAATATTTTCAGCAAAATCTTCCTGAAGTTTCACAATTTATAATACATGTAGTTTAGGATATAGCAGCATCTATCATTGTGCAAATTAGTGGGAAAAAAAAACAACAAAAAAACTCTTCATTTATTCAATGACATGATTGTACATTTTACTATTTATTTTTGGTTTGTTTATTTCTAACAGATGTCGAGATGTGAGATTTCCTTCCACAGACTTAGATGTCAGTATTGTGATCTGCTTTTTCAATGAACAGCCCTCGGCTTTACTTCGTACTGTGTATTCAATCATTGACCAGACTCCTACAGAACTGCTCAAAGAAATTATCTTAGTAGATGATAGTAGTACTTTAGGTTTGTAATTTAGTGGAATTTAAATTTCAATAAATTCTTTTAGTCATAAAATAAAAAATATGCATATTGTGATGGTACTATTGTCACCCTGTACAATTTGTTGGCTGCAACATTATGTACCTACACTCACTGCACATATTTTCGTCTATTGGTACATATTGAATGAGCAACAAAATCTACTTTGCATATCAACACAAATTGTCATTGGTGACAATATGAGCTGTGAACATTAGCACATTTTGTCATGAAAAAAATTGGTTTTGGAGTATGTTTCACTGTTATTAGAAAGAGATATATTCCTGGTATTTGTAATGGATTTATATCATCATTCTCCCTCTTTGCAGTGCAACTTGTATTACAGGTGCTTCAAGGGAGTTAATCATGACAATTGTGTGTTAAAACCTTGATTTGTCTTGTAGTGAATATGCAATCTTATGAAAACTGAAGATATCTTTTTCAAATAGAATACTATTTTCAAATTCCACCTTGCACTTCATGAGTCTATATTTACATATGTGACAGGTTTGTGTGATTTACATTATTACATATCCATAACATTCACAAAATTAAAAAAAAACCTGAAGTAACAATTACCATTGAGTGAGAATATGTGAAATGATGGTTATAGGCATATTTTGTCACTGGCAACAATACACATTTATTTTTTCAGCCAGTAATAATATGTTCCGATGTTGGACAATATATGATTATTTCAGTGAAAATAATTGTGTATTGTCATGGATGACAATATATGTACAGAATGATAATATTTACTGTCACAGATATCATTCATGGTTATATACTAATAGTTGAATGCAGTACATGTAACATTATAGCAATTGTACATTTTTTTTTGGTTTTTTTACATGTTTATTTTCTTTTTCATTCTGCACAGATGACATTTCTTGCCAGATAGAAACATATGTTAATCAGCATTTAAAAAATGTGAAATTTGTCCGTACCCCAGAGAGACAGGGTCTTATTAGGGCTAGGGTGTTTGGGGCCAACCATGCTTCAGGGAAGGTAAGGGTTAACTGCACCTGAGTTGAACCGAGTTGAAAATTTTGTATTCTGTAAAATCTGTAATCTGTTCTTAGATTTAGTCACTTCAACACTTATTTAAGAACAATGAAGAAGACACATTTGATCTACAATTTATGGTTACGGGATGGTATTTCCAAAGAATTTGTTAAAAAATATGTGAAAGATTCAAGTTCATTTACATGTAATTAATTTTTTTTTTTCTTCAGAAACATCTGAAATCAAGAAATTTTACAGTGCACTTGGATTTTGTAGGTTTTGGTCTTTCTAGACAGCCATTGTGAAGTGAACATTGATTGGTTAGAACCTCTGTTGCTAAGGATATCACATGACCCACACACTGTGGTTGTTCCAGTAATAGATATGATCAACCATGATACTATGGAGTACCAGTCCTCTCCTCTTGTCCGAGGAGGGTTTAACTGGGGCCTTCACTTCCGCTGGGATCAGCTTCCAGCCAGTGAACAGAATGACCCAGAGCTTGGGTCAAAACCTATTCAGTGAGTTATGTCTAGTCCAAGTAATGTTTATGTAGCAGTAAGAATTTGTGTAAAAATTAACATGTAAATTTCAAATTTACACAGTATAAGTGTATGAGTAAGTTCTGGGGCTTGAATTTTATTGCAGTTTGGTTGTTCAGAGATGATAGCTAGTTTTTCATATTTTGGTTTTTTATTCAGTTAGTATTGCTGATTAAGGTTCACTGACCTTCAGATAAGAAGGATAAATATTGCAGAAATAAATGACTTTTATTCCTTTATAAATTTATCAAGTTTAAAGTCCTTTTCAAATTTTGCTCAATTTACAGCATTTTGGTATGCTGAAATTGCATTTTGAACATAGATTAGAAAATTACTGTTAATGCAAAATTTTATTTGAGTGAGCAGATCGAGGGACAATAAAACCTTAACAAATTTTTATTGTCAGGTCACCCTCTATGGCTGGGGGGCTGTTTGCCATGAGGAGGGACTACTTTCATCACCTCGGGGAGTATGACCTGGGTATGGATATCTGGGGAGGGGAGAATCTCGAGATATCATTCAGGGTAAGCCGGTATCAGTTACAGTATATTTGTGGGTAACAAAGTACAATTTAACTTTGTTACCCACAAATATGATACAGTGTACTTAAGTACAATTTAACTAAAATACACTGTATCATGATTATAGATATAATCTCAAATACTATAGATACTGAGTCTATATTGAAGTGAGTTGAAAGTCCAAGCTCCATTTAGTTTGAGGAAATGAACGTTGACTGTATTTACATGAACATTTATGTATCTATGCAGGAATAAAATACAGGTGACTCTCGATGGCTCGAACTCCGATCTCTCGAAGTTCTCGATCTCTCGAAGTGAACCTCCAGTCCCGTTTTTTTCCTCTATATAACTAAGCAAATTTACTCCCGATCTCTCGAACTCCCCATCTCTCGAAGTTATCTAATTACTATCTCTCGAACCAAGATCTGGGTCCCGTTACACACATTTCATTGTTTTTTACTCTTTATCTCTCGAAGTTTTGATTGCGCATATATACATGTCAATCAAGCGTAAAATTAATGCACATTGGACTTACCTGGATAACAGTGAACGCCTGGGGCTGGGATGGACGTGTTAATTGGGTGTTTACATAAATGACACTACACCTGTGAATCGTCCGAGTGTTGAAATAATTAATTGGTTAACTGTTAAATCATAAACAGATCGTTTCACAACTTATTTTGACTGGACGAGACGATAATTTTGAGGAAATAATTTAGGGACGTGTCAGTAATTTTTCCATAGATTATGAACTTTAATATTATTAGAGTCTACACAATCCCAGTTTGGCAAACATTGCACAAGAAATCCTATCTCAAGAACTGAATACCGATTACGAACAATCTTGTGAAGGACCAATCAAGCCCGGGGGAGAGCCAATCAGACAATTTCTATTCAGTTTCATGTAATCATGAAATGAGAACTAATAAATATTGAAACTTAAAATAATCATTTTATTTATTCAAAATACGATCATTGTTCTTGAAATCGAGTGAATTACCTGTAAAATATGAAAGAAAACGTGTAATGACATTATCAACATATACTTCCGGTATGTATAATAGTAGAGCAATGATGATCGGAACTGAAAATTCCGGATTTTATTTACTTTCTATCTCTCGAACCCCCCGATCTCTCGAACTTTTCTTACGGTCCCTTGAACTTCGAGAGATCGAGAGTCACCTGTACAGTCAAACCTCTTTATCTCACACTCGATGGGACCGAGAAAAAAACTTTAAGATATCCCAGGCTTCAAAATTTTGAGGGTAAAATACTTAAAGATAAGTGGATGGGACTTCAAAATCAGTTTGACATATCCATAGTATTCGATATATCAGTGTTCGAGATACCAAAGTAAGCTTCTTTAAGTCTATCAGACCTACATTTGAAGAGAAAAAGATTCTTAATTGGCAATGATAGGACTGTTGCTTTCTCTGTTGAGAAACAGACTTCCTGTTGAGATATATGGATGTGTCATTGCTGATGAGTCCTGCCAATTTTAACAGATATGGATGTGTGGAGGCCGACTAGAGATCATTCCCTGCTCAAGGGTAGGACATATCTTTAGGAAACGTCGGCCGTACGGAAATCCTGAGGGTGGAGACACACTCATTAGAAACTCACTCAGGGTAGCTCATGTGTGGATGGATGAATACAAAGTGAGTTGAATCTCATAGGAACTCATTAAATAAGGAAAAGTAATTAAGGGACAGTGGTGTACATTATTTTTTTAGTATTTTATTTGGTATGAGCAGTTTTCTTTGCACAGTATACACATTTATTTACTGGAAATACCATGAGATTTTCCATGAATAAACGAAACTTGATTGTACATGTGTAAATATGATTAAGATTGTACAGTGTATGTTTAAAAACTAATACTCTCAGTACTTTTATATCAGATTCTGGTTGTAGTTGATCACACTGGATATAAACTTAAATAAAATGTATTAAGACTCATTGTCGCAAAACCATATTCAAAGTAAAGGTAAAAATTTGCATGAACAAAACAAAAACAAAGAAAAAAGTCCTTACATCTGTTGAAGGAATGAAAGCCATGAGTAAAGTTACACTTATGTCAGAAATAGTTACGGCAGCTATAAGAAACCACTTTTTTTAATGTGTTGTATACATGGTACAGATTATAATTATTCTTTTTCAGGAGCATTTTCTCAAGCAGAGACCTCAGGCAGAACATATAGACTATGGGGACGTATCAGACAGAGTTTCTCTCCGAAAACGTCTCTCTTGTAAATCATTCCAGTGGTATCTCAAAAATATATATCCTGAACAGGTATGTTCAATATCTCCCATATTACTGTAAATCACTTTTTATTTGCGAGAACTTTATTTTCGCCTAATTATGTGAGTCTGTCTGCTCGCGAAAATGTTATTCTTGCGTACTGGTATATTTGTATTGTTAAGGATTATATACAACAAAAAGCATAACTCGCGAAAATTTTGTCTCGCTAATAAATACCAAATACAATATGTAACTATCTCAGGAAAATAAGGTGTCGCGAAAATATAGTGATCTACAGTATATTAATTATTCTGAACAGGTCACATAAAATATCTCCCAAATAATTTGTATATTATGAACAGGAATGCCAAATGACCTGCCCATAACCAAATCCATTTAATGTGAAAAGATCTTGACTAATTTTGTATTGCATTCATTGGAATTGTACAGTACATTAAGTAATCACTATTGGACATATGATGGCTTCTGAAATCAAATTCCTCCACATTTTGGGCTACATTACAGTGTATAAGATACCTTGCTGTTGCCCTTTTAACATGTACTCTTAGAATTTAAAATATACATTGACATGTATATATGTCCCTTTGTGCATTGTAGGTTGTGCCAGGACAGGTCAATACTGGTGATATAAATCCTCATTTTCCAAGAAACCATAACAAGAAAGAACCAGTCGTTATTAAACATGGGCAGGTGAATCAGTTACTGTACTTTTTTTCCATAAGGTCAAATCAAAATTTCTTTTCAATCTGCGGGTAGAAAATTATGTGGATTTCTGAGGTTGCAACCATATGCCTTAAATGTACTTTAAGTACGCTTAATACATTAGCATACATACATTAGCATAAATTGATACCATGGGGAACAAAGTACTTCTACAGTATTTAAATCACTTTGATAGAATTACATGTTTACATGTTTAACATGAAAAAACACAAATATTAGTTTTACTTCAAAATACATTGTACTGTACATGATCATTTGTTGAAATATCCATCCATAAAAAGAACAATTTGTGACACAAACATGCACATGTGCCATTGATTTTAACTGCTTTGAATATTTATAATGTACATTTTTAAAACATCTGTGAGGCTAATGTTAGTGGTTTGATTTGATTATTTCATTTGAAAAATGTAGTTTATTTACAACAGTTGGCTTGGAGAAAGAATATTATGGTGTACTGAATTACTAACAATGAAATGAAAGAAAATGCACATTGTACATTTACTAGCTAAAAGTTTTGTTGATTTTATAATTTAATGGTGTTTTATTCTTCCCTAAATATTAACAAAATTCCTTTTCTTTGCATTATAGCTGACACATGCGGCTTCTGGTTTATGTGTTCAATCTGAGAAAAAGACTTACACCAAGAAAGCATTGCTCACTCTAGCACAGTGTGATAAAGAGACTATGGATGGACAGAAATCACAGATGTGGTATGAAACTGTGGACAATCAACTCCTCCTAGCTCAGTTGTTGTGTTTAGATGTAGAGTCAGGAATGGTTGGGATGAGTTATGCTCGATTGATGAAGTGTCATGGCAGTAGGGGATCACAAGCTTGGACATGGACCAACAAGGTGCATATACAGTATAGTAAATATGTGTCAATGTGTGAGAATCATTGACTCAAAATGCTTTAATGCTATTATGGCATATTTTTACCAAGTAGTATAAAGATTCTAAAATTTTCGTCCATATACTTGTCCATATACATGTACTTGTACAATAAAGTATGCTCAAACATTTATAGAGAAATGATGCAAAAACTGAAATTTTTCTAAGTTGCAGAAAAACAGTTATATGAACTTGCATGCTGAAAAAGATGTGATTTTCATTCCTTGTGGTATTTAAACTTCTTTACAGACATAATGATCAAATTATGTTTATAATGAAATTAAAGTCATTTGTCCCTGGCACTTCCTCTGTAAATGCAGAAGGTTGGTAAATAAAGAAGGTAGATATGTGATGATAACATTGACAGTCCTTTGGTTTTATTGTAGGATGGAATCTCAGTGCTGTATAATCCTGCTAGTGGAAAATGTTTGACAGTTACCGCTGCCACAGTAGGGGGAAACCTATTTTTAGATCTGTGTACCGGGACAAAGGGGCAGGCATTCAGGCTCAGTTGACAGTGGACAGACGAACCAAACAATATTGTATAGTAACATCACAGTAAATATCAAAGAAATATCAATTTCAAATATCAATATCAAATAGCAAAAACAACTGAAGATAAAATGGGCTGAGTTAGGCAAGTTTCCGATTCTGTTGATCTCTCATGATCCTATTTTTCTTGTTTTTGAGCTTCAGCTTATTTTATTGCCTGACGCCACGTGCGTCAGGCAGTATAAGGATTAATATTTCAGGGATCTGAAACTAAGCGATCATTCTTAATGAACTAGATTTTCTGCAAGCTGATTTACATCGGAATTTGTTACCTGCATTTAAACAAATACAGTTTGCAGAAGAAAGAATCATATAACTGATGCAAAATAATGATGTGTTTAATTCATTCAATTTTTTTGCATGCACATATTTATTCTTTGCGATTCTTTGTACGAACATGTCCGTGTAACATTTTTTCTGCGTTTCTAAACTACTGGATCAATCCATTTGCCTTCTACGAAAGGGGTGACACAATCATTTCGCGCCAAGTGTCACATGTAAATTATCTTCGCGCCTTTTTCTTGGGTTGTTCTATTGAATGGGTCTGATAACTTCTATGGAAATAAATAAAGTTTATTCTTTAAACATGATTCTTAATCTCCAGATTTTTTATTAACAGTAAATTTTATCTAATTTTTTTAAGAGAATACATTGTATATGGACAAGCAACACTAAAGCAATGGATTTGCTGATTATTCTTACTATTTATTCCATAAGTGGACTAGTCTAATCATAAACAAACTCCCTCCACCCAGTAAATGGGACATCCCTTCTTGATTCTGTTTTCCACCTAGCCTTTCTTTCAACATTACATTTATTAATAATGTACGTTACAAGGTAAGGTTTTTTAAAAAAGCTTAGAAAGTCAGCGAGTAGCATATTATTTCATGCTTTGTGATGAACAAGGGTTTCCTTTTAATACAGTGACAAGAGTGTAGGTCAGTACCCGTAGAGGAATGAGCTTCACTCCCGTAAGGTTCTAAGTAAAGAATCGGCAAAATGAAGAAGACATCAAGATCTGTACTGGTTTTCATTTCATTAAAAAGCACATTATTTTAATTATGAGAAAGGTCCTGAAATCGATTGAAAAGAAAAACTAACAATTTCAAAACTGTGTATAAAGATGTATTTTAAGCTCATTTATAATACATGTACTTGTATATGGTAAGACCATCATTGCGTGAGTTTTGTCCGGGGGGTGGGGGGTGGGAGGTGTTATTAGTATCTTGTTTTGCGCTAGCTATAAAGTGTACAGGTTATTTACTTTGATTTCTAGAGTAGCATTGAAGCATTTTTGTCTCAAACACTTCAACACAACTTTCCCAGTTGAAACTCTTCATAATTTACTTCGTCGTCGAGAACGACGGAAAACAGACCAGTCTATAAATAGAGGCCGTCTCATCAATCTATCACTGACCATGAAGAAGTGCGCCCTCTAGTAAGAGAGTACATGTAATATGAATTTCTTTAAAACGAATGATCTAACTATTTCTCCAGAATTATCAGTGGCGGATCCAGGAATTTCATAAAGGGAGGGCGCAGTAGAAGGCAGGGGGGCTGGGGGGCTATGTTGAAACCCCAGTTTTTTCCTTGATTTTAGGATAATGAACATATAAGTTCTACATACAAAAAATTCAAACGGGGGGGGGGGGGGGGGGGGGCGGGGGGGGGGACGCACGCCCGGCGCGCCTGTTCCATAGATATTGATTGATTAGTCAGGCAAGCTTTTTGAAAAGCTATTACTTGTGTTATTATATAACTTTTTACTCTTCCATGCCATAATACTCAGGTGACTGTTAAGGCCTGTGGGCCTCTAGTGTCAATTGATAAAACCTAACCTTTTCAAATTAGAGTTGTAACTAAAGAATATCAAATCTGTGGGTTTTATATTTATGAATTTTATATGTATAAGGATTTAAAGTAATATCAGTATTATGAGGGAGCTTATTCACATTTGTATGAGGTTTGTTTGTAATGTTGGATACATGTTATGTAAATATTTTTTTATAGAATTTATTTGTACATTTGTATCATTTGTTGCTGGATTTTATCTACTGTTCAATTTGGTTGTCTATATTTCACAGAAAACATGGGTTAATAGTTTGGTTTGGTATTAATTATTATTTTTTATTTGACAGTTTTTTTTCTTTTCTTTTTTTTTTTATTGAATTTGATATTTATGAGAAGAAGTCTGAATTCCATTTACTTCACTTAATTATTGAAAGAACTGATTTGTTTTCTTTTTCATTTTTTTTTAACATACCTGTACATGTAGCAAAAAAAATATGTACTTTTTTAAAAAAAATTTTAATTAACAACGTGTAAAAAAAATAGATGTTTTTTGAGATTACCATTATATAAATACTCATTAGCATTTGTCTCTTGTACCAGGTCAATTTTATATGATTACTCAAAAGGAAACCTTCCTTTCTGAGTATAAAATGCATGTTCATACACAATTATACAATATATATAAAATGAAAAAAAAGATTACTGTATTTGATCATATTTCCAATTGAAAATTTGTATCTTAAAAGGATAGAACATGTTTTATTTTATTATGTAATGTGTTCATTGTTGTTGTTAGCTGCAGAACTGTAGCTCTCCAAAAGCAAAAAAAAATGACAGACCAGAGAGCTACAGTGCCACCCATAGAAAAAACTATATTTATTGCTCATGAAAAAGTGCGCTGTTTCTTGATTTATTTCTCCATATTTTTAAACTGCAATCTCAAAATATTACTGACCGTGTGTTCCTAACACATTTTTGCACCATTCCCACATCAAAACATTTCCTATAATCGTTGTTAATAGCCTTCCTGGGCCTGAAATTAAGATCATTCAAAATTTTGCCTGTTAATACTGCCATTTTGGGTGGCTAGACAATTCGGCCAAACGCGCTTCGTAAAGATGTCAACTACAAGAGTAGTTGATAGAGGTCTAAGGAATTTTTTTGAAATCGAGCTTTTGTGCAGTTTAGGTAAGAATTTGGATAAATAAATCCAGAACCGAGCGCAACTTTTTGTGCGCAATAAATACACAGTTTTTTTTCTATGGGTGGCACCTGTAGCTCTCCGATCCGTCAATTTTTTTTTTTCCAGAGAGCTACAGTTCTGCAGCTATGTTGTTGTATGCAGTGTTATTTATCTTAAAAAAAAATATCAACATAAAGATGAAAAGCTGATAGGTTATCTCAGAAATCGTCAGTGTTACCATGTTTATAAACATTCTAGGCATTATATTACAGATTTATTTTTTTTAATGTCTTTTATTAGCTCACCTGAGCCAAAGGCTCAAGTGAGCTTTTCTGATCAAAATTTGTCCATTGTCTGTCGTCGTTGGCGTTGTCGTCGTTGTCGTTGGCGTAAACTTTTCACAATTTCAACTTCTTCTCCAGAACTACTGGGCCAATTTCAACCAAACTTGGCACAGAGTATCCTTGGGTGAAGGGGATTCAAATTTGTTCAAATGAAGGGCCACGCTCTCTTTCAAGGGGAGATGATAAAGAATTAGTGAAAAATTAATAGCATCTTTTAAAAATCTTCTTCTCAAGAATCACAAAGCCAGGGAAATTGAAACTCACATGGAAGCATCCTCAGGTAGTGTAGATTCAAATTTGTTCAAATCATGACCCCCGGGGGTAGGGCGGGTCCACAATGGAGGATCAAAGTTTTACATAGAAATATATAGGAAAAACCTTTAAAAATCTTCTTCTCAAGAACAGCAAAGCCCTAATTGGTCATATTTATATGGAAGCATCCTCAGGTAGTGTAGATTCAAGTTTGTTTAAATCATGACCCTCGGGGGTAGGGCGGGGCCAAAATGGAGGATCTAAGTTTAACATAGAAATATATAGGAAAAACCTTTAAAAATCTTCTTCTCAAGAACAGCAAAGCCATGATGAGTCATATTTATATGGAAGCATCCTCAGGTAGTGTAGATTCAAATTTGTTCAAATCATGACCCCCGGGGGTAGGGCGGGTCCACAATGGAGGATCAAAGTTTTACATAGAAATATATAGGAAAAACCTTTAAAAATCTTCTTCTCAAGAACAGCAAAGCCCTAATTGGTCATATTTATATGGAAGCATCCTCAGGTAGTGTAGATTCAAGTTTGTTTAAATCATGACCCTCGGGGGTAGGGCGGGGCCAAAATGGAGGATCTAAGTTTAACATAGAAATATATAGGAAAAACCTTTAAAAATCTTCTTCTCAAGAACAGCAAAGCCATGATGAGTCATATTTATATGGAAGCATCCTCAGGTAGTGTAGATTCAAGTTTGTTCAAATTATGACCCCGGGGGATAGGGCGGGTCCACAATGGAGGATCAAAGTTTTACATAGAAATATATAGGAAAAATCTTTAAAAATCTTCTTCTCAAGAACAGCAAAGCCCTAATTGGTCATATTTATATGGAAGCATCCTCAGGTAGTGTAGATTCAAGTTTGTTTAAATCATGACCCTCGGGGGTAGGGCGGGGCCACAATGGAGGATCTAAGTTTAACATAGAAATATATAGGAAAAACCTTTAAAAATCTTCTTCTCAAGAACAGCAAAGCCATGATGAGTCATATTTATATGGAAGCATCCTCAGGTAGTGTAGATTCAAGTTTGTTCAAATTATGACCCCGGGGGATAGGGCGGGTCCACAATGGAGGATCAAAGTTTTACATAGAAATATATAGGAAAAATCTTTAAAAATCTTTTTCTCAGGAACAGCAAAGCCCTGATAGCTCATATTTATGTGGAAGTATCTTCAGGTAGTGTAGATTTAAGTTTGTTCAAATCATGACCCCCTGGGGTAGGGCGGGGCCACAATGGAGGATCAATGTCTGAAATAGAAATATATAGGAAGGTATCTTCTGATGAAGAACTGCAAAGCCATGATTAGTTATTTTGATATGGAAGCATCCTCAGGTAGTGTAGATTCAAGTTTGTTAAAATGATGACCCCTGGGGATAGGGATGGGCCACAATGGGGGATTAAAATTTTTTTACATAGGAACATATTGGAAAATATCTTCTTCTCAAGAAATCAAAATTATGTTTAGTTATTTTGATATGGAAGCATTCTCAGGTAGTGTAAATTCAATTTTTTTTTCAAATGATAACCCCCAGGGGTAGGATGGAGCCCAATGGGGATCGAAAGTTTTACATAAGAACACATAGAAAAAATATTTCTTCTCAAGAACAGAAAAGCTATGTTTAGTCATATTGATATGGAAGCATCCTCGGGTAGTGTAGATTCAAGTTTGTTCAAATGATGACCTCTGGGATAGGGAGGAGCCACAATGGGGGATCAAAATTTTACAAAGGAATGTATGGGAAATTTTTTTTTAAATCTTCTCAAGTACAACAAAGCCATTTGTTATATTGACATGGAAGCATTATCAGGTAGTTTAAAATTCACCCCCCCCCCCCAACCCCCAGTAATCTTTTCAATACTGAACTGATTTGTGTCTAGCTAATGTGCTCAGGTGAACAATGTGGCCCATGGGCCTCTTGTTATATGTGTAATGTAATCATTGTTTTCCATTCTTTTATGAAATGAACTGTTACTTAATATGGATATACATGTATGTGTATGTATGCATGTACAGTGTATGTGTATGTATACGTATATAGTGTCAAAATAATCCATAATGACACTCAGATATACTGGTTTATATATAAAAAAGACTGTAAATTTTCAATGATGTTAGAATTATAACCCTGTGTTAAGTTATTATATCGATATCGGGTTATATTTCAGCATTAAATGAATATATATTTTTACTAATGAATAACAAGCATATACTCTGTACAGTTATATTGTATGAACTTTATCATTGATAGAAAGGGTGAATTTTGTACTCACTTAATACTAGTATACATAGTGACTAATATGCATTTTCCAGTCTTCCAATTTTGATATTGTTTAAGACCTAGAAAAATGTTTATTGACTATTACATGCTTATAAAAAAATGCAGTTGGTAGGCAGGATTTTGATTTGATTTTAATTTCTTTTTCTTTTTTAAAGGTAATTCTATGAAATACATTTTATTTAAGACAGTTTGACACTCTCTTTTTCTGGCCTGGTATAATTACATGATTACAGTGTAAATTTTGTAGAAGATTCGGTGGATGGTTCATTATGTAGGGGTGTCAGGTATATTGAAAATGGTGCTGTTATCACGTTATAAAATGCTTAATGCTAGTTCATGGTGCAAGGTTATTACATGTATATTGACAGAGTATCGTTAAATAAACATGTACACTAATTACATGTAAATACATGTATAAACATGTGTTTTGAATCAATAAACAATTATTGAAACTAACTTTATGGAGAGTTAACTTTTTTTGTTGTTGGGATAACCCATTTATATCCTGAAATGAAATTGAATTGTTTTTTAAATCTTGAAATTTAAATACGTGATTTTTCATATCATTTATTAACTTACATGTATTTGAGAGGTTGAATTAATCTTCTAAATCCTATTATGAAGCAAAAAAAAAAAAAAAAAATCAAAACTGCCTCTATCATGTTTGCATATATAATATGGTGGGCATCAAAGGACCGGTCGCCATGACCGCCAAATAAGGTATTATACAAGATATACACAACGACTGGTAACCATGGTAACTAAATGTTTAATTTCAGTCGATTGATAGGGTTTCAAAGACCCAGTAAATTTGAAGGCGGTGCTTATTTATCCCCCCCCCCCTTAAAGTTTGCTCCTAAAAATTTTAGCGATTTATTACACGTATGTATAGAGCATTTTTCTGAAAGACACCTTTTTTTGGCTGAGGTTAAAAACACTGCTTCTTCTTGAATACTACAGGTAATCAATTTTAATTGCAAAAATGACAGATTCGCGAACACACGTTCCTTAGCGATAAAATGTAAAATATACTAAAGAGCGTGTATCGATGTAAACGTTTGGAATATAGGTCAATTTTACGGTCCTATTCCTTTCTTTAGCTCGGTTTACTTAGCCCAATTACTTAAACAAAATTTAATAGTAACTTGATAGACATGATTAAAACTTTTGAATTGAAAACATCAGTTTGATTTCACGGGTTTTAATTGTATGTTAGTCAAATGAAATACCTTTCTTGATGCATCAAGATATTTCAGGGGGAAAAAATGGCAATATTTCATGATATATCAAATTTACAAGATTCTCCATATTTATTTATTTATTTTTGGTTTTAAGACAGGAAAGCGTAGATTTCATATTCATATTATTTACAAAAAAACAAAAAAATATTTTAAGTGTGTAATATTTTATGAAACCAATTTTAAAGCAAGTTGGGTTTGACTTTTTTCCGAGAGAGAGAGAGAGAGAGAGAGAGAGAGAGAGAGAGACTGAGATTTTGATCTATCAAAACTTGAAAGAAAGAAAGAGATGGAGAGATTTAAACTTTTTCCTGGTTTTTAATGAGTTCTTCCAATTTTATTTATGCAAATACAGTAATTTTGAAACCAAAACATGCGCATTTTATTCTTCCTGAAAGTATATGGAACCCCCCCCCCCCCGATTCTTCATGTCATGTATCGATGCATTGTATCGACCCCTCTGTATCACAATACATCGATATAGCGATGTATTGTTACACATCTAGACTGCTTTCCTCCTATTAAAATGACAAGATGTCAAAATATAACTCACAAAGACAGTGGCGTATATTCCTATCTGCTAATTAAATTGTAGGCTAGTGAGAAGTCACAGATTCAACCCGAGGTAAGCAAGGAGAAGGTCACCCCCCTCTCCATAGGGATTGGGGGAAGGGGTGGTTCGGTGGGAGCTTTTTTACGAAGACATCTACGATTGTCATCTACAGTTTGACAAGTGAAAATAATATTGTAAACATATTTTTTCCAGTTTATATAATGATATGAAGACTACTTAACAAAATTGAGAACTTTTAACTTATTTTTACTCTACTTAGAAAATAAGGAAACTTCCTTACTGAATAATCTAAATACGATCAATACATTTAACATGTTTAATTTCCTACTAACCAAAAAATATATTTCCAGTAATTGTAGATGACATCTATGATTGTTATCTACAATTTGACAAGTGAAAATAATATGGTAAACATTTTTTTTCTTCGGTTTATATCATGAAGACAATTTGACAAAATTGAGAACTTTTAACTTATTTTTACTCTGCTTAGAAAATATGGAAGCTTCCTTACTGAATAATCTAAATACGATCAATACATTTAATTTCCTACTAACAAAAAAATATATTTCCAGTAAAATCAATTTTTTCTGCACTAATCATGGCCTTCTGTTGCTGTCGATGATTTTGAAATTGTCTGATACAGACTTAATAAACACTTGAGTTTCTGATTAAAAAGAAAAAAAAAAACAGCTATAGGAAGTTTTGTCATTAAATATATAGTAAAACTGTCAACGTTGCTTGGGTAGGTATAAAAGTACGGATACCTAAGAATGCTATTTTGGCATTTGCAACAAAATAAAATCAATAGATAAGAATTATTATTATCTTTTCTTCCTTTTTTCCAACCAATTTTTTATCCCTATAAAGTGATGTGTAGGCTACAGTCATTTTGCCAGTATGGAATATACGCCACTGAAAGACATCAAAAACGTTTTGACTGTTCTTGAGCAGAAGATAAAAAAAAATTGTCCCTCTTGTGAAATATAAATTCCATTACAAACTATACGCTAAACATTTATTTTTATTTTACTAATTTTACTTTCTGATTAATTCATTATTTTTTTTTCAATCATTCATCATTCAGCTCACGGAAAAAGAATGTCCACCGTACATATTTTAAATTCTATTACAGCCACCTGTCCTGTTAACCTTGACATTAGATAGTAAATAAACACTGAAAATGGCGGACAGCCTGTCCGTCTTAACAGTTTTTGCGTCCTCTTTGCTGATCAAACAGGTAAGTTTAGATTAAATTAACAAATTGAAATGCTATTCCACATATTTGTCTCGAATATTCTTGTGCAAAGAGGCTGCAGAATTAGCTGGTTATAAATGTTTTCTTTGTCAGCTGTCTTCTGCGTCGATGTGGCGTGATTACTATCAGCTGTTTTTAGCAAGTGTTCTGAAATGATATACATGAATAGGCATGAATAACAAATAAACAAACAGACAGAAGAAATATCCTAAAGAATAACTAAATAATAAATCATTGTGGAGTTTTTATTCATTGTCACCAAAATTCTTTATGCTTTACCTGATTACGTCACCAAAAATAAATGGAGTAGGCCTATTCAATAGGCTATTGTTTTCTTTTACGAGAATGAAAGGTTTACGTGCCTACTTTAAAACAAGCGCGGTGTAGAAAATCTTGTATGTTTCATTAATTCAGATTTGTATACGAAAAAATATAAAATTTTCCCTGCAACCCTGAAAGTATAAATTGGTATATTATACCCTGAATTATAATTAATCAGGAGATTGCAAAATAATAAAAGATGTAAATACAAATATCTATTTTTTAAATTTCATTTTAATTTAGGTGCCAAGAAGGAAATCACATATTTACAACACAACTGCTTTTTAGGCTGAAGCAGATCAAAGTGATTTTATTTTACATTGTTTTCAAAGAATCGTGTCAATGTGTTAGATCAAGAATCAACATTAAATATGATATTCGAACTGATTTAATAAATTTATTGATTTGTGTTTTTTTCCTCTCTGTGTCAGTTACTTAGTACCTTGATATTACCGCTTACTTTGTATTACCAGGGACCTATATACTAACGGGATAGGCAACTCCCTCAGCGCCATGTTTATTTACCAAAACGGCACACACGACACTGCAAGTTTTTCAAACTACATTTTTTCCCAGTAAAAAGCTTGTTTTCTGATTTATGTAATCTGTTCTTTTTGTGTATCGGAATGGATGTTTAATAAATTTTAAAGCAAATATTATAAAATAATTTAGATATTAAGTAAACAACCACCAAAATCGGCGATTTCTCGGAAATACGGCCGATCAGGGGCACTCACTGATTTTTAAATAAACGTAATTACTCCTAAGATAAGGAGTAAAAACAGTGCTAGTAATAAATCTTGAATAATTTTGTGATAGATAAATTAAGATTTTATTCTGAAATATTTGATAGCAAAGGAGATATATTTAACTAAAATTGACTTACGAAATCCCGCAACTTACGAAATATCGCGAGACTTGCGACAGTTGCCTATCCCGTTAGTATATAGGTTCCTGGTATTACTTTTAAATTTTCATTAAAATAATTTCAGTAATTTATACATATAAGCCCAGCGTAGTCAGTTGTACAATACAGGATTATGCTTACGTAATATTCAGAGGATGTTTTGACCAATGCTGTAATACACAATTATTTTTACATTTATATTGCAGGTTGATGCATACTACTGTGATAGTGGAAAGTAAGTATGTTTTGTGCAACATAATGTGATTAAATGTCCTATATTTATTGTGATTTAAAATTTAGAAAATTTACAATTGTCTTCTAATATGCTATTTTACATTTTTTTTTTATTATATATCATAATGATAAATATAATAATTAATAATTTTATGTAAGGGAACTAGTACACAACCCACATGTCTTTATGTATTAACTAATTTACATACTAAATCTCCTTCCGTGAAAAGGGGGAGGGGGTATTCACTTGTCAATGAGATTGTTTAGTCTCCAATCCAGTGGGAACATGTATGTTCTTCTCATAAGCATCTGATAAAAATGATTTACTTGTAAACTCCTGCTGATTGATTTTAAAAAGGTACACCAATTATGTATTCTGTATCATACATGTAGTTGTACTATAGCAACCCCTGTTGATAGTAAATGGAAAGATTAAGGCCGGATTATAGAAAGATCATTTATGCTGAAATTTAACAGCACACCTTCCCTATTATTAGACGTGTGTTAAATATTTCATTAATTACATTGTTTGCTTGTTTAATTTATAGATGTGAAAACAATGAGTACTGCTGTGGAGAAAATATATGTTGTGTGTCGTACACAGTTTGGGAGCTGTGGTATTTCTGGTAAGTCATATATCCCCAGGGTTGGTCGGGAAATACCAGTGGTAAATACCGGTATTTCCCGTCCCGGGAAATACTACAAATTTTCTCTAAACTGGGAAATAGTGGCAAATAGTGGCAAATACAAACTTAAGTTAAAGTTTTTTATTTCTTTAATTCATTCAATCTTATACAATATTCAAAAATAAAATAAATATATAAACAGAAGATGAATAATATTGAATATGAATGTATCACTACTCTAAGTCCCATACCCATAAGCATTCCGAAAAATTTCCCTAGCTGTGTAAAACTGAAGTTTTTCAATTCAAGTTTCTTTTCAGTTTTGTAAAATTAGTAAGACAAGTTTATTAATTATAAATCCAAGAACAAAACAAACTTGTTTTAATCCTTCTATAAACACTGTAGTTATTACGAACAATCATGTTGTTTTAACAAATTGCTGTGGACAGTTTTGTGCTGTGCTCCTGTTTTGAGATATAATTACCTGGAGTAGAACTGAAAAGCCTCTTCTTAGGTTTGATATTTACACTACACTCTACATTTAAGAATTCTCTTAGATTCTTCTTTAGTTACATAAAAAAACCCAATTGGGATCATGGGTTCATTTCGTGGCCCTTTATAGACTAAATCGGACTCAAGCATGACACTCATGACTGGTATACAAATATACTGTGTTACTTGTATGATTATATAAAATGAATTACTTGGAAACCAGAATTTTTCAAATCAGGGACAGTGATACCTGAGGTAGATATCTTAGCCAATAAGATGTACTACATGTCAATATGAATGAAATATGTACTAATTTCTTATTTCCCAGTATTTCCCAGGAATACCAGTAATTCCCAGTATTATATACCGTCCTGGGAAATATGAATATTTCCCATTTTTTGCCAACCCTTTATATCTCTCTCTCCCCCCCCCCCCCCTTCTCTCATATCTTTAAACAAGGGAGGTAATTTAGATCTCTCATCATGTCTTTATGTGGGAAGAAGGCAGAGAAATTTAAGTTCAGATTTGAAAAAAAAAACCTTTGAAGGATTAGACAAAATTGGCTACATTATTGCACTAATCAGGCATGCTTGGGCATGATAACTCAAAAAACACAATCAATCAATAATTGGTTACTTGGAAGAAGATTGAGTAATCAATTATTAATCAGTTGTTCAACAAACAAAAAATATTTTGATCTGCCTTTTAACCATTTGTAACTGTTTAAGAAATAATTAAAAAAAAAAAAATCACCAACATCTTGGGTTAGCTCTATAATTTTACTTTAAAAATGAGACTGAAAATCTGTGCCATTTTCCCAGAATCAAGAGCCCTTCATCTATAAATTTGTGATTCTCTTGTTGCTATGATAGATTATAAAAGTTATGAAATTATCATTAATTAAAACGGCATTAATTATGTCACTCGTTATCATGATACATTTTGTTTTGTACTTCTTTATTTGAAGATTTTACAATAAATACTTAATAATCTCTTTTTGTCCAGGTTTGGTTTGGTATTTTTCATGATCTTGTTAACTTCCTGTATATACATGTGGCGATCTGGATACAGAGAGAGAATTATTTATTTTGGAACAGTCCCTCCATCCTACAGTCCTTTGTCTCACAAGGAAGCACACTTACAGACCGTGAGTATATGGCACTCGTTGCGAAGAAAAGCAGGAATTCATTTATATAATTAAATTCCTTTATGAGCACAGAAACCTTGCTTTAAATGCATTTACATGGTTAATGCAATGTCCAAAATGCTAATGATAAAGTATTAAAAGAAAATTATTTATAAAATAGGACTTATATGCCTTCAGTGCAAAGGAGAAACTTTGTTTAACTTTCAACAAAACTTGCATGCTATACAGTGTGTATACTCAAGTGATGAATGCTACTGTGAAATGACTAATTTTCATGGGGGTTTAACTTTTGTTGATTTGGACGTATGAAGACACACAAATTCATGTTGAACACGAACTGCAGAATGCTATATACATATCTACTCAATAATTCTCCATCCATGAAATCAAATCGCTACGCAGCTAGGATAAGGCTGTCCATAAAATATCAAACTGTTCCAACTGTAGTAACTTCTCTGAACTACCTAAATATGACGTCAAGTCACTGCATACTTGAGCTGACATGAATGGGAAAGTGTCATAATTTTTACATTCCTTTAATATGACATGCAAGGATTTTTTAGCGTTCTTGTTTGATTCAAGTGTCTGGATTGTTCTTTACGCTTAAGTGTGCTGTTATGATGTTGAACCTTTGCAATTTTATATCGTTATTCCTTTAACTTGTCAGATATACATATATTCAAACAATAACAAAAATTGAATGTGAAACACTCCCCCTTACACGTACGAGGACAGAGTTTGAATTTATAAATCGTGTATATATTTGACTGGCACAAGTGATTAAATTAATAACGATAAATTGAAGATATTCAGTGTGAATCTACTAGAGAAGTGTGTCTTCTAACTGAATTTTGTTGGGGGATTGTACGTAATTTATCCTATTTTGTATAAATTGCGATAAAGAGTGAAAAATGTCCCCTTGTATGTAGGCAAGTTGAATTTCCCGTGAAATATTTTCTCAAGAGGTAAAATTCAGACTTCCCCCCAGCACTGTATATGTACCAAACATCATTTTGAATTGACTTATGTGACAAATTTTTCTTAATAATGCTGGTTTGCACTTGTTCCGATGCGAATTTTGTGCATCACTCAGGAATTTATAAGTGTTCGTCACGTGATCAACAAAGTCATGTGACATCACAAAAATGCATTATTATAATACCTTATTACACTCTCATCACAAGTTGACTGCAAATTCCTACATAGATTACAAATTGAATTTAAAATCAAGCTGAAAAAAAAAAAATGTGTATTTTAGTGCATATTAAGCCTTCAGACAGCCTTAACATAGCTGCGCATGAACACATAGTTTTTCTTCAAACCATGAGAATTTGACCCCACAAAAATATGTGATTTTACAGTATTTTGTAATATTTTGGTTTAGGACTTTGCAGAAGCCCTTTTGTATGAATTCCACCTGACATTTGTTTTGTGTTCTATTTTGTAGTCCCGATACTCAGATGATTTTGGTCCCCTATCAGGAAATCCAAGAATGTCACCACCAGCTTATGATGAAGTCATCGTCCATGGTTACCATCAGAAACTCCCACAGTGATTGTCTTGAAATATCAGCAAGTGTTGGTCATAACTTAAAGTGAGGAGTAGAATTTGTGAGTTTTTGGTGGAATTTAGAAACAAAATATTATTTATTTCATAATTCTATGTATTATTTGCTGAAAGTTTCATATGAAAGATGGAATGAAAAAAAATGTATTTTAAGGTACCATTTTTCAGGTCAAGATTAATTCAAAGATTGATTTTTTTTTTCATATTTTGCAAATGTTTTAGTTTTCAGATACCTTTTAGAGTAAAAAGAGGTTCATTTTCAAATTATTACAGTCATAACATCGAGGCAAAATAGATCATTTTGTGTTTTGACATTCACATGTAACATGCATATCTGGATAAATTGCAGTACAAATTAATTGAACTAGCAGAAAAAAACAATGAAGGAAAACATTTTAGGTTTTAACTTTAACTTATTCAATGCTGGTGGATTGGATAAATAATTTACTTTATATTCGTATAAACTGTATTGCCTACGTCACAAAGTCACGCATCAAAAACATATCAATCCATCTGACATCTCATTTAAATTTTGTACAATTTGAAGTGATTTTTAAAGAGCAGTCTTCTTAATTTCGTACACTAAATGAATAAAAATTAAATAATAAGGAATGAATTTAATAGCTACCCAATTTATATGGCATAAACGAGGTTGGAGCAGTTAATGCTTTTGAAACCAGCACCAGTAACTGAAAATTTTATGTAAAGGATAAAACAGACATTTTGAGTGGTTTTGTTAGTCCGTATTTTATATATTTTTGATTTTTTGGAAATTGTAATGATAGCCAATCAAAACTCCTAATTAGGGATCATTAATGGTGGATCTTGAGGGAGTGTAATTTCCAGAAAAAGTTATCTTTAGTCATCAATTGTCTTTTTGGAATCAGACTTGAGAAATGGCTAACCTTAAATATCTTAAGATAGATGCTAGAAATATTTTTGCATACTTGTTGATTGTTTTCAAGTGGAATAACGTTGTTACTGTAATAATGAAATATAGAAATATTTCTACAAAAAATATTTAAATCAAAATACTACTGCAACAATAATCATGATACATTTAGTTGTTTGAAATTTTGTACATGTACTTTCGTGCAATAATGAGTAACCTAATTTTGTTGATAATGTCTTTGTAACATGACATACAGGGGGTTTAAATGAACCCAAACAGAGTAACATGTCATCAGTGTGAAATCATTTTCTCCATGATTGGTACAAGTATAATCATCTATATTATTTTATAAGGAAAATATTTAAACTCTGCCAGAATATGCCAAAAGGCCAGTTTAAAATCACAGTCAATTATATATCTTGCCAATTAAGTAATTGAGTCACAAAATTTCTCTTTCAAAGAAAAACTTTGAGATTTAAGAATGTATGATTACCAAATTAATGAGAAGATCCCACACATCATTTAGTATATGACATTTATCAGCTACCCATATCTGGTAGTGACCCTATGGTCAATCAGCGGTCACTTATTGGGGGGGGGGGGGGGGTTGCCACAGTCAGTTTCAGACAGTGTCCTTCATTTTAATCACTACTTCATTACATCATTGCTGAATCTCATTTTATCAGATATATGTAGTGTAGTGATACTTCAAACATTGATGTAGCTGTAGCTCATCAGAACTAAAAATTACTATCAAATTTTGTGACATGCAAAATGAGTATCAAGAATAACAGATTTTTTTTTTCTTTTTGAAATTTGGTCAATTTTTGAGATATTTGGAAGTTTTCATTGAAGCTCAAATCTAGTTCTAAGAAAAAGGGAAGAATGTTTAATGTATATGTTCCCTTTCTTATAAATATATCATTCCAAAAACTTCAGGTCAAGTGAAAAAAAATTTTATTTTTGAAAAGGAAACATTAGCAGTATTAAGGGAATCTTAAAATAGAAATCTATAAAGGAAGGAATTAACAATACAGTGATAAAAGTCAGGGTTGTTGTGATGGTGTTTATGTGATGTTCAGAGCTGAAATTGTATATATGTATGTGTTTTGTATTGTAAAGTATTTTTGCAAAATGTTTTTGTTTAAACATTGTTTCATATTTGTACATGTAATACTATATACATACATATATACATCATATGATTCTCTAGTTTTAGTTCATGAATCTGTTGTTATTTTTCTTGTTGATTTTATTTTTATTTGTTTGTCAAATAATTTCAAAAACTACTCTTGTCTTAGTAGATGTGAATTCCATTAAATCATTTCACATTAGTTTAATTTCGTTTTGTAATGAGTTGTTACATTTTTTCACATGTTTAATTTTAATTTTGGTTTGAAATACTCGCACATGTTGTCAGTACAGAAATATCCATATTATCAGGAAAAATTGTTGGGATATTTATAAAGAGGTTAGTTGAAACCTCTTGCATTGATGATTGGTATATGTACATGTATACGTTTATAAATTTCTCATTATATTCATTTTTTTTCTTTATTAAGATTTTTAGCACATGTCAATATAATGAACTGTAAGTACATTATTTTTCCATCAATGACCTATTTCATAATTCTACCTAAGCTAGCTTAAAAATATATAAAAAATAATGTCATTGGACCTTCATGAAATGTTTTCATGTAGCAGCTTTTATACAAGTTGTCATTTTTACAACAGAATTTTGTTAATGAATCAGTCATGCTTCAAAGAAAAAAATTACATAATTTGATGAATATTTTGTTGCACTTTGGCTAATTTACTTTGAATGATGTAGAACAAGCAGAAAAAGTACAGTATTAATTAATCATTTTGTGTAGTTAATTACTAGAAACTTCAATCAAATTCCATGGTGTTCATTCTTGAATCAAATTTAATGTAGCTTATACTGGCCAGGTTACTTGATAGATTTTGAAAATATCACCACTCTCATTTGCTGTTTAAGTAGGTCTGGATTCAATATTAAGAATAATGCTTACTATGAGATTTTCACATACTATCTCCCACTTTTTTGCAATAAAATACAATATGGAGCATTGTCACAAATGGGACAGAAAGGTTATTTTTAGAAAGGATAATACATGTAGTAACACTGTGATTAAGCAAGTACTTAATGTTGAAACCATCCAAATTCAGTAAATTATTAAAAAAAAAAAGATGAGTGCATTTTGCAGAGGTTGAATTTTTTTTTGGGGGGGGGGGGGAGGGAAATGTTGGGAAGAAGTTTTTCTCTGTTTTGTTGAAACTTTATCCCATTTCTCTAGCTTTTACATCATTTTTTGTACATATTTGATCTCACTGTAGTTTTGAATTTGATAATCAATTAAAGTCCTCTGGAGTAAAAAAAAAAAAGACTGCAAAGATAGTCGAGGGATAAGGATTTGCTAAGTCAGAATGAAATTATTTTTACTGCTTATTATTATTAGATTTAACAAAAAGCAGTACAATAGAAAATAATCAAATTGTCAATTAAAAAAACACCAAAAACTCTTACTAGATCTTGTCCAATTTATTTCCATCATTATTTTACTACAATCTTTGACATTGACTTTTTACAATTAGTTTAGAAATACATGTATCATTTATTCTGCATTTCATTGTCCACACAGTGTTTTTGTTCGATTAATATTTTTAAAGTACATATAAGTTCATTAATAGTGACCATGAAGTTTTATGGAATCAGTCATAGCATTTTCTTTCTCAAGATAAGTTATAGTTTACTCTTGTGTGAAAAATTAAGATATAGAATAGTAGTCTTTAAAACCCTATTTTCATTGTTTTTCATTTCAGAGAGTATATTAAAATTTTGATTCCGTTGCAAAATTATAAGAAAAAACATTGACTGCCTTAAGCTAGACACTCCCAGGAAATACTGTTATTTTTTTTTTCCAGATAAACATGCTTTATTGTTTAAGAGTCTTGTTTATTGAATCTGTGATCATGTCTCGTAATTGTGATATCATGTTTTGTCGAATTCATTAATCATGAATGTTGATTGTGATATAGTATTTTTTTGTCTCATTGTAAATGATTAAATCATCTCTATTTTAATTGTTACAGTGTTTTTGTTTATTTGGTTATGTTGAGCAAATAGTTAATAGCGATTCTCTGTAACCACTTAAACTTCTTTGCCACACATGGTCAACGATTTTGATGAAACTTTGCCCATCATTACAACTTGACACAAGAAACATAAATCAATAAAAATTTCGTTGCTATGTGTCTTGGTTGCCATGGCAACAGCCAGAAAAGATGGAAAAATTGATATTTTCAGCTAATTTGAATCTTTATTAAGCCTTAATGAAGACTTAGAGAAACAAACAAACCATTCCCACAAAAACGTGACACCTTGTTGCCACTTATGCTATAAAGAAACTATTTAGAATTTATCTCTAAGTAAGTGGTAACCATGGGTACATTTGGAATATATTTTAGATGCTGAAAAATGCTCAATATTCACTAATGATAGGTGTTACATGATCAAACTCAATCAACAACCTAAGAAAAACAAAAAAATGTTTGACCTTAAGTAATTAGGTACTGGCAATATTATTCTAAAAATAACTTACATGGTTGCCATGGTAACACAGTGTAACCATGCAAAATCTGTTGCAAAGATTGGGTTAATGCTACTATTTTGAGGAGAAACAATAAAATTCATGACTGGCAAGTATACATCCTTAAGACCATGCAACACTGACAACATAAGAAAAATTGGGATTGTAACTTTGCAGTGTAACCGTGGAAACAACGTACCAGTTGTTTAAAGTGATATTTTTTTGCTGCCTTAGGAATTTACTTGGCTTTTAATCAAGAAACATATTATTTGACTCAACTTGAATAGTACTTATCTAGTAGCACTAAAGTTGAATATCATATATTGATAAAGTTTGTTGAAAAATACAACACTGTTGCTATGGTTACCAAGAGGTGAAAATGTTCGATTTTGTTAATTTTATATCAATATTAAACCCTATGTGCCAGCTTTTTGCATCCAGTTAGAGATTGGGTGGCAGTCAAAATTGAAAGTCAGGTTAGTTGTTCATAAATATCAATCATAAAAGTTTTGGGAATCTACATACAAGAGTATGTATCCAAGGAAACAATATTTTTCAGATTTTTATGCATATTTTTTTCGGCTAATTTCCATAGCAACACTCTACTTAAAGAATTGAATTTGAATTTTTTGAAATGTGAAAATTAGGGTCACACCAACGCCTTTAAAAATTGATCATCAGTTATATAGAAATATGCATTTTAAATATATAAGATAAGATTAAAACACTAAGAGAGTAAATTTAAAATCCCTTCGTGGTATTAAAACCATGGCAACCATTGCCAACCAATAAGAAATATTATATTTCGTCCTTGGGATATGTTACAAAGATCTTTTGTCTATTATATTTGCTTGCATTTCAACCTATAATTGTTTTTGTTTTTATTCTTAAGTCTATGACTTTTTAAAATTAAATGAACAAAATTATTACTTTTGAATACTTTGTTTCCATAGTAACCTATGTAATAGTTGATTTACCAAACATATTTATCATGCATTTAAGACACCAGGCCTTCAACTTTCAGAAACAGTCATTGTCAGTTGTTTGCTTTGCTGCAAACATTAACTGTGGGACTCTGAACATGTTGAAAAATGCCATTTTTCAAACCTTAGGACATGTTGCTATGGTAACCATGACACGTAGCAGCCAGTTTTTGCCTGATTTGAGTTTACGGTATCAAAGACTTTTATCATAGAGAGTTTGAGGAAATTCTGAGACTATGCGTGCCATAGCTCCTATATAAAAGTTCAAGTCATTACAGAGAATGGCTCTTAATCTCTTTCATAAAAAAAAAAAAAAAAAAAAAAAAAAAAAAGAGACAGAGACAGAGAGAGAAGGGATATATTTCTTTATTCCCTGATGCACATTGACTTTATATTTGATTAATACAGTTGAGTGTGCGAAGTGAGACATTTCAACAAGGCAAAACTGTATTAATTTTATATACAGCTGCATGGACAAAAGGATCCAATTAATTATTTAGTTTGTATTATATATATGGTATATTATTTGTGATAACCCGGGGAAGATCTGAAAGTAAAGTTTCTTTCTGAAACTGAAGTAAAAGGTCTGATGCAAGATCCTCTACATGCATTACATTGTTGTGAGAAAAGAAGCGTTTTTAGTTCACCACAACAAAGTTGAGAAGGTCTTACTAAGTGTTGGTATCAGGTTCTAATATTCAGTTTTTGGAAAAGTTTTTTCGTCCCAAGTAACAACAGCACCGCACAGAAAAGCTATCCTGACAAAATTATTTGCAGAACAGTTTCTCGCAATGGAATGATGTGTTGCTCACTAATGAGTGCAAAATTAACAAAGTGAAAGCAAGGTCAAATAATTAAAGATATCTTTATTAATTATTTGAAGAAATCCTTCATTCAATGCATTTGGTGCACCAACAGTTCAATTAAGGACATGTTAACCTGACATGAACGTGATTGGAAAATTGAAAAATAGGTACCAACTGATAGAGAACAATTTTTTAATTAAAAAAATTAATACTGTAACTTACTTTTTTTCTAGGAGACACAATTCCTGTTCAATCCGTGAGTAGAGAATTATGCGGATTTCTTGCCGTGTCATTTTATAAATTAAATGCACTAAAAGAATTTCGCGGACAAATTATGACCGCATAAATTAATCCCACACGGACAAATTACATCTACAGTATATGTACATATAAAGTTATTTTCCATGGCAACAACCTCTCATGCCCTTGTTTCAAAAGATTAAAGCTATTAAGAAAATTGATTGGGCTATCTTTGAAACTTAACAATCTTTACATAACTTGTATGATTTTAAAACTGACAGGTCAGGAAATTTCCCACTAAAATCATTTAGGATGTTTATTAATCAACTCTGAATAATTAAGAAAAAGGAATTTTAAGTAAAGTAAGATTTTGATTTGAACAATATATTCTGAATTATAAAATCACATACCAGTGACCTTAATAAATGTCAGATTCTTTAAAAAATATTATAGGATTATTTCATTAGATAATAAAGAAGTTGAATTGTAATGAAAAGTAATTGTCGTTACCGATATTTGCATATCATCTGTAATCAGTACAACACCCAAATAGTCGCCCGCGTGGTGCGGTGGTTAGAGCGTCTGCGCTAGAGTCGCGAAGTAAGGAGTTGATCCTTACGTCGCGGGTTCGAATCCCACTGTGGGACGTGGAGACCGGTCCTTCGGATGAGACCGTATAAACCGAGGTCCCGTGTCGCAGTAGGTGCCGGCACGAAAAAGATCCCTCACTGCTCAATGGCCGTAAGTGCCGAGTATAGGACAAAATTTGCAGCTCTCCACCGGCTAGTTAGAATAATCTAACTGTGTCTCGGGACATGCCCTCACCACAGTTAGAATATACGTTCCATATACTTGCAATGTAGCAAATTGGAGTGGATCCACTCCGAAATGATTTTGAAGAATACAAAAGGAATTGCACTGAAAATAACTACCAAATTAATCATAACAAACCTTTTTGAGATAATCTATGTCTTTTAACCTAAAAAATAAGCCATATAAATACGAAAATTCAACTAATTTTCTCAACGTTTTTTCCTCGCTTCAAATTTAACGCCATGTTGACATTCGAAACTCTCTGGATTGTTCATTGAAAATGCACAGAGTGCGAGTTATCGCCCGTGTTTATTTTGCAACATTGCCAATACACGGAACGAATTCTATCGTTAAACCGGGTCCGTAGGACAATATCATTTTAACGATAGAACGTTCTATCTATCCACCGGCAAGTGGTGGCGTCTCCATATGAGTGAAATATTCTCGAGAGGGACGTTAAACAACATACAAACAAACAAACAAACAATAAAACACCCAAATATGAAACAGAGATAGTAAAATCAGTGATAACGTTTGTTTCGAGTTCAATGGGATATATGTAATCATCATATGAACAAGAGTAACAATTATTAATTGATAAAACGTCGTATAAATATATCTTAAATTTGCTTTGAAGGCCAAAACAGTTTTCTTAAAGGTTTTTGATAAATTCTGCTTCAAAAGCATATGAAAATAGGTCGGCTAATAAAGGAGCACAGTTTGTACCAATCGAAATTCCGACAGATTTTTGGAACACCTGGTGTCCGAAGACTACATTTTTAGTATTGGATAACAATAATTAGATATTGCTAGTGAGTAACCCCAGGGTCTTTTTAATATCAACTTCAAAATACTTGTACGTAAAAGCAGAATGATTTTTAACAACATAATTTTTTAGATGACAAATCACAAGATATGGAAATTTCCGAGTTCCCATTTTGAAGAAACAGTTATCAAAAAGTCTTGCCTTTAATTATCGTGAAGGATGGTTGTAAAACGTGCATTTGTGCTATTGATTTTGAAAATCTTATTTCAATTTTTCTAGATGTTCTTTAAATTTTTTTAATACACATTTGATTTTCAACATTTCAGGAGTACTGTGCAACAATATATTCGAGAAATGGTGTGGATACTTAAAAATTCCAAGGAACTTTTGGAAAATTTGAAATCACAAAATTTTATCAAAATCAACAACATAAAAACTTAAAACTTACGACTTTTCAACTTTATATACAATCATTTCCCACGATAAATTTAAGTTCAGGCTTTTTAATATCATTGACAGCTACTTTTTCAATTAAAATGGAACTCGTAAATTTACTTACCTTGGTCATCGGTCATCGGCAAAATTATTTTGTTAAAAATATGATTGTGATTGTACACACAAGTACTCTGAAGTTGATATTAAAAAGATGATTGAGTTTCTGATTAACAATATCTATGTGGTTTTTGGAGACCAGGTCTTTCAACAATCTATTGGAATTTCCATGAGTACCAATTGCGCCCCTTTATAAGCAGACCTATTTTTTGTATTCATATGAAGCAGAATTTGTTAAAAATCTAATACGTGAAAAGAAAAAAACACTTGCTGTGGCCTTCAACTCGACATTTAGATATATCGACGACGTATTGTCAATTAACAATGGTTATTT